GGCAGATCTTGCAATTCACCACACATATCCTAGATACTCAGCCGGTGGACCAGATTCGTTACCGCAACCGTACGCGCTTGAAATACCATTTTTATGCCATCAATATCGCCAAGGAGCTGGCACGCCTTGTGGATGGTACAGGCGGAACGACCGCGGTTTCGGGTATGAGCGCTCCGTCGGTTACCCCTTGGATTATGCCAACGCTAACTAGTCTTAGTATGCGCAAGCAACCCGTTACGCGCAGCAGTACGCCGTGTCGTTCATCCTAGAACGAGTGGCGATTTTAGATTGATTGACCTGGACCTTGAACCCTCTTGCACGTGGTGGACGGACGATGACCCTTTCTACCATGCAACATCCGAAACGATTACAGCCTCCGAGCGAGCAGAATCTTCCAATACTGGCAGAGTGTTTGAGCCCAGTTGGACGCCGGCCCCCTTGCCTATTGCACATACTGTCCCTGAACAGGCGTCTCGTCTCTCAGGAGAAACATTGGTCGATAATAGACGATCCTGGCAGGGCGATGAGTCGGCGATTGGGGCCCGGAGTGCCAATCACAAAAAGTGGGTTCGGCAGAAAATCATCGAAGGCGGCTTCTAGGTTAGCCAAACGTGTTAATAAGTTACCCGGCACAATCCATCCATTTGGACAAGTACGAGTCGTAGGCCCACTGCGTTTATCTCTATGACCGCGCATGTATTTGTCCTGGATAATTCGTCACGTCGCTCTGGCCTAGCACAGCGTGAAGCTAGAATTGACAACAAGGGATACGACCGGAGCTGCCTAGACTCCAAAGCTTCCAAAACAGGCTGAGGTTTAGTCTGAATCCTTTTCTGAATAATTACCTCCGATTAAGTGAGCAGATAACAGCAAGCAGGCATGAAAGTGAATAAATTCACGTTGATATGGGGTGAAATGCTGCTGAAGTGAATGGCTCGGGCGGTGACGGGGGAGGATGTTGCTGAGCCGTAGGTCCATCTAAACATGGATCGGGATCGTCGCGTGGACAACCATGAACCAACATTGGCCGTACCACATCTACTTTGAGGATTTTGAACTCATAACCACTATTATTAATTTGCTTTTCTCAGATATCGTTCATATATTGCGTATTTAGTCCCGGGGCCCTTGTCGCTTGTTCGTATATGAAATGTGAGGGGTGTATTCATTGGTTGGCCCTCGCGAAGATATATTATGGGTAAGATATGTCGAGAAATAACGCCAATTTCCATAACAGTATACCACTCTCGCTGTAGTGTTTTACCACTACTCACAGTTCGACGTGAATGACGACGAATCGAAGGGAAAAAATAAAAATAAAAGCTTGATTGTTGGTTGGTGAATAATGAGACAGCCAACCAAACGTAGGGATGCACGCCGGCCATGTCGCGCATTGACCCGACGCTCTGTCCCTAACCAACTCACATTCTACATGCCTCCTCATTCTGGACCATACCATATAACATGCCGATGCTGACCTTAAAACCGATCTGTGGGCTCCGTCCAGCCGGAAACACTTCCGGAGGCTCTGATCTACTGTTACTATTCCTTTCGAGGTCCTCGGCTAGCGCCACGTGACACCCGCCATCGCGAACACGAAAGATTCACAGACCCTGTCGCGCCCAGCCTTGCCGAATTCGGGGACTTACCGATAAGCCACAATATCGGCAATAGGGGCCCTACGTCCCTGAACGGATAACGACTGAGCATGTCGCGTAGGAACGCTAACCTCCCCCGGTCGGTCATCGAAGAAACGTGTGAAGAACCATCTGAAGCAGCCCTTAATGCGCGAGTGCACCGAGTCTCATATCAAAACGCTCGAGCAGCATCGAGGCCTCGCGTCACAGAAGTCCGCCCACTACCACCAGGCTGTTCTCTGGCACAACGAGCAACTCCAGTCAGAGAATAGAGAGCTCCGCCAAGGGTTCAAGGCCGGTGCGAATATCATACAACTTCCATTTCAGTAAGGACTTCTCGTATTGCGTTTGCTAATCTGAATGTTACGCATATCGAATCGATTTCTAGAAAATCCAATGAAAGGTAATAGGCCTGTGGTTGAGTGAAACATAGTTTCACAGCACAAAAGCGAGTAGGCCAAAAGGAAAGAGACAATATGCAACTGCAGTGAAGCCTATACCATTGCTTCTCATCTTTGGTAACAGAAAGTGGAAGAACAGTGGAAATTTGGTGCCACTGTACATCTCAAGCACCAGATCAGTCATGGCGAGCATGGTCAAGTGGCCAGCCTTCAGGCGTTAGCTGCCCACAGAACTCAGGGTTATAGACGGTGCTTGTCTTGTCTAGGGTAGCCACATACCGATTGCGGCCCCCACGTTTGCCGTGTGTTTTATAGTGGTCATTGAGGTTGTCGCGCCGCGAGAAACTGCGTTGGCACCTAGGGACCCAGCAGACATGAGGTCTCGCTCCTGAATGGCTTGCCAGATGGCGGTTCAAGGTCTTTTGTCGTTTGAATTGGCGCTTGCATCCCGAAAGCCTGCAATTGAATTGCCGCCCTGGGGTGCTTGCTTGTGAATCTCCGAGACCGAAATCGGAGGGATCTTGCGTGCGGATGGGATTGGGGGATTGTCGGAAGACTTGACAGGCCTCTGCAACCTGCGTGTCTTGTCCAATGTGCTGCCCTCCAAGCCGCTCTATCCACGGATCATCGGTATTCTGTGGGGCTGGGAAGGGGCAGGTTCCGAACAAATTAGGCACAACGTCAAAATGGCCAGGGGAAGCCTCCAAGGGTGAGTTCGATGGCTCCCAGATAGGCTGGTATCGAAACCAACAGACCACAGGCCGCCATCCGCAATGGCTGGAACCTGGAATTGAGCAACTCATTTGTTGACAAAGATGACCATGGTCTCTGGTTTGGCTGATGTGCAATGGGTGTGTCAAGCCATGAGAGATAGAGTCGCACTTTTCATGCTGGTGGAACTCCATGCCAGGCTGTTCGGTGGGTATGAGATCGATCAGGTCTTTTTGTTCGCTTCTGTCACCGTAGAAGAGTAGTGTGTCGCTTGGGAACATCATGTCCGTCTTACATGCTTCTGTTTGCGAGGATGTTGCCCTAGTTTGTTGTATCATCTATGAACTGTCGCCCACACTAAGCATGAATCGAGATTTCTGTGCCGAAAATGAGGCGAAAGTAGGAGGCATTCACCCCACTGTCAAGAGCGATGTCTGCGTACGAAAATCGATCACTAGTAAGTGAGACCTAGTGTGTATAGAGGAAGGAGTGGCCCATTGAAATAACACGGACGAAACAAAAGGTAGAAAAAGTCAGCAAAACTCGCACAGAAACCTAGAATACCTGAATCATCGCTGCTTGCCCACCCAAGTTACTGAGTTGACCCTCCCTTAACAAATACTATCGAAAACGAAGTCTTGCCATTTGCTGCGCACGGTTCGATTTTAACGTGATCCTGGACTGTTGAAAAAATACATGAACAACATATAAAGACGCCTGTTTGTGAGGCGAGATGGTCGTTGGACAACGTTGACCAGACACATCCTATGAGGCTAGTTCAATCCGGGATTTTGTCGCCGACAACTAGGATCAAGCAGACACGAGTGCTCGGCTTGATACGGAATTCCTAATCTTTCACCAGTCGCTGACATGGCTGTATCAGTTGTTGCTCATCGGTCCTAGCCAGCCAAATGCTTTCAAATTGAGAAATATAGGGCTTTGAATTTATGTAGTCATTGAAGCTGCGTGACATGATTCAACGCTGCTTGAACAACTTATTTGGCTACTAACATATTTATCAGCATGGGAATAGGGGTGCTCAACGACCGTAAATACCAAATAGCCATCAGAATCAAATAAACGACTGCGTTGAGACCCATACCTCTGTCGTAACACTAACAAGGTGACTAAGTGTCTCCAGGTGGACTATAAGAGAGGCTATCATCCTGTGCAGACTAATTTCTTTGAAATCATTTCTTTGCCTATCACGAAATGGATGCTCTAAGGAACGTACCGGACCAAAATAGTGAAGGAGATCATCGGCCGAGTGGACTGCCAATTCAGGTTGATAAAGGCTACCCAAAGGACGCTTCTGATCCCAAACCACGACAGGTAAGTTCGGTGCATCCCATACAGCATTAGATCTTTTGGCTGACTACTGGCATTCTCCCTCCCGTAGCTGGAAACCAACCAGAAAGAAACCCTGACGATCGAGCACTTTCAACCCATCTTGGCGACACTAGCAAATCTCGATCGCGACGATCCGAAACTAGCATTTCAAGCGGCTCGGTCCGTGGGGCTCTATCGACGTCTATGTGCATCATGTATGCCTAGGCACCTTAGTGGCGAGGATGTCGACTAGAAGAGTCAATTCTCGAAGGAGGCTAGCAATAACCCGAGCAAAGAGAGGAATGGACCTCAGCTTCCTCATGATGAGCAGCGATTACGACTGCTTTCCTTTGAGCAGGCTTTGGAATCATCGTGGGAACGAATGACTGTCGTGCTCAAT